GATCAAAGATTAGATTATATTACATTAGGATTATCAGGAAAAAAAAGTTAGGAATGCAGAACTGGAAGAGATTCAGAAAAAATGTGAAAATGGAAGATTAAAAAATAATAGTAAAATAGTGGGAAAAACTCAGATAACAGTTGGAAATATACAGGAAACAATAGGATTATAGAAATGATAATCTGGAATAAGTAATAGAAGCAGTACATTTAATAACTTTATTTGCTTTATTGGCTCCCAGCAACAGCAACATAAATATAATGACAGAAATATTGTTTTGTGGACTGCCAAGAAAAATGACCCCGAGAACTGTGTGTGAATATGAATATTTAATTGAATCCTGCAATGGCCTGTGTATGATTGGGTAATTGTTGCCTGAATGCTGCAAAATTGCAAAGACACCTGAACATCCTCCCAGTTTGAAAGATAAAAATCCCATTTCAAAAGCATATTATGAGAATAAGAAATTAGGCATTTTATACATTTTGTATAAAATTTCTTATCAAGTCAATTATCACTTAGCAAAAGCAGGTGAAAAGTTGGTAGAATCATGCACAAATGATTAATAGAATGCATGTCAGATCAAAAATACTCTGCTTGCAAAATTGGTTGTTGGAATAATGTCAGGTTTGTGGTCTGCCAATAAAAACACATATTAAACCTAATCACTGCTGTCTTCATCATCATGCACTTGTGAAATGCATGCCAATATAATTCAAGGTTGTACTGTAGGCAATTAAAATTGTGAACTTGTAACAGCAAGGGCAATTCCAGTATATTTAATGCTGAGTGTAGAAATGGGAAAACTACATAAAATATTCCTACTGTAATCTGGTGAGGTATCTGCTTCATTCAAAAATGGTGGTTCAGTACTGTGATCTGCAAGAAGATCATCTTTCATTACTGAAGAGTTCTCTTGACTTGGCACAGAAATTGTGTCAGAAAATATTTCTGATCTATTTATCAATAATATTTTACTGTAAGGTATACATTTAAATAGGTTCAGACTTCAAAGTAAAATGCATGTAGATCCATTAAAGCTCCGTTTAGAGAGAGTGTTTCTGAAAACAATACTTTCTGAATCTTGGTGATGTTTTTTTATTAACAAGCAGTTTCCCTCAATGCAAATATCAAAATGTTGGTGATACAATACTGCCTGATTTGTATACTGTTAGGGAATTTTTTCCCCCTCAAACAGAAGCATTGTCCTTTTGTGCATTTCTGTATTTGAATTAATGTTAAAAGAGAAGAATTTTGACTGATTTCATAGTACAAAAAACAATTTCCTCATATAGGACTTATTAGAACTGAATATCCTGAAATTGGCAGTTCAGCCCTAAAATACCTTATGTCATTTACAACAACAAACCTTTGTGAGAGAACCTTCTCTTCATATGCTGAAAAAAGTATACAAAAAGACTAAATATAGATGATCTCTCTTACAGGCAACATGAATTGCTCCAAACATTGAATTTTATCCAAATAAAACTATCACATTCTGATCACTGAACAATGATTTCTTTGGTAAGATCATTAGTTAAAGAGTTGTGTAATTCAAGTGGAAATGTTCATTTTGCATTTATAATAAACAGTTCACCTGTTGTTTTATTGTCAGTTTTCTATAACTCTTGCTTCGCTACTTGACAGAGGTTCCAGGATTTGTTTTACTAACAAATGAGATGGTCTGAAACAGGAGTGTCAAACTCGATTTCATTGAGGGCCGCATCAGGGTTGTGTTTAACTTCTGGGGGCCAGGGTGGATGTGGTCAGGGTGGACGTGGCCAGCATGATGTCATTTGTGTCAGGGGATGGATGCCTGTGGTGGCCCGAGTGCTCTGCCAGCGAAAATGGGCTCCTGAGCTCCGTTTTTGGCTGCGACGGCCTCCTGCAACTCTCTGCCAGTAAAAACGGACCTTGGGGAGGGGCACACATGGCCCTTGCAAGCTCCGTTTTCAGCTGGGATGGCCTCATGCAATCCTCTGCCAGAGAAAACAGAGTTCGGGAGGGCCATGTGCAGCCCTCGCAAGCTCCATTTTTGCTGGCAGAGGCACCGCAGGCCGGTCCTTCGCTATTTCCAGGGTGGCCCTGCAGGCCAGATCTCAGCACCCTGCAGGCCGCATCCGGGCCTTGAGTTTGACACCCCTGTTCTTAAAAAAATGTGAAAACCCCTTTTTGGGATTGACTTTGTTTCTTCAGATAGATGACAAAATTGGGTGATGTATTTACGCTTCTGGGTGAAAGGATTTATTCACAGCAAGCTTAATAGGCTAGAGAATGGGCTGAAAATAGCATCATGAAATGTAATAAAATTATAAATTCTTCCTCTTAAGTGGGAGGGTCAGCAGGCCCGTGATGGATTTGAAGATCTTCTTGGAATTGTAGCTGACGGCTGGCTGACAATGAGTCAGCAGGTGATCCAACTGCCAGAAAGGCAAGCACAAGTTTTGGCTATGCCAATATATTTTCAAGAATGATCATAGGAACAAACAACTCCAACCTGTTATGATCGGTCAGATACCTGCATGCTGATACTGCATCCACTTCTGCCAGATTCAGACTAATTGCAAGCGGTTCTGACAAGTCCGCAGAGGTTCAGTTTTATTACATTTATAAGGCCATCTGATTCTACGGTAGCTCTGGATGTCTACATTCATAAAGCAAGCCAAAAATACAAGCCAAACAGCAACACGTGTCAGCAGTGGTCCAGAACGGAAGCCTGAGGGGGAACTGGGTAAGTTTAGTTCTGAGACAGGAAAGAGGGATTTATAGTGCAAATATTGTTATGAACATTTAACTTTCTGCCATCCATTTTTCTGTGTGTAATTTAATAAGCTATAATGTTCTTGTCTAAGTCACATCTCATTCATACCACATCAGTAAGAATTAATAGAATATATAATATGTTCATATGATTAGATTAATTAAACCTTCTACTGCTATAAGAATGACAGGAAGAGCCTTGTTCCTTTGTCATTATTTATGCATGCAGCAGGTTGCTCACCAAGCACCAAAAGTGGGACATTTGCCCATTTCCAGCTGTTCGGAGAGCTCTCTGTCAAAACAACATCTCCCTTCCCTAGAAGGTTGGGTTCTTGATCGTTTCTCAGAAAAGCAAAGAGCAATGCGGCTGTGGTTCACACCCACTCAGGAAATTCGGTTTTTTACCTGTGCATTTTCATGAAGAGAATACAGATAGCCCTCCACTTATGACAATAATTGAGCCCAAAATTTCTGCTGTTAAGTGAGACAGTTGCTAAGCAAGTTTTGCCCCATTTTATGATTTTTCTTGCCTCAGTTGTTAAGTGAATCACTGAAGTTGATAAATTAGTAACTCTGTTGTTAAGTGAATCTGAAGTCCCCATGGACTTTGCTTGTCAGAAAGTTGCAAAAAGTAATCACGTGACCTTGGGACACAGCAATGGTCATAAATATCAACCAGTTGCCAAGCATCTGAATTTCGATCACATGACCATAGGGATGCTGCAAAGGTTGTAACTGAAAAACAGTTGTTAAGTCCCTTTTTTCCAGCGCTGTTGTAACTGTGAACAATCACTAAATGAAAAGTTGTAAGCTGAGGACTACCTGTAGGCCACAAGCTATTTTAGTGATGTCACATTTTCACCAATGGTTCCCTGCGGTCTTTGAAATGGTTAGGAAACTGAATCAAAATCCAAATTACATTACAGTTTAAAATCATGTATGAATTGACATAATAGTACTGTATGTATAGGTCAAGATGGATAATCAGTGACTCTCCCCTCTCCCCAAAAACGGAATGGTCTGTTCTTTTATTTTCCTGTGAGCACAAATCCAAAGCATGAAATCCAATGAGGAAATAAGTTTTTGACATCATCCCACACAGGGAGATGTAGTTCTTCAAAATCAGAACGAAATCAGCTATTAGTGCCTAGCAGCCTTTCTCGATGTGACATCACCCTAGTATGTTAGGATTACAACTCCTTGAATTCCACCTAAGAAGTAATGGAGGCCATTTAATCACTGAGGAGATTAAAACAACTGAAGAGAAACTAAGGAGAGGATGTTCCCTCCAGAGGTTGAGGATAGGGGAAGATGTACACAAAAAGATTATGCAAAAGGATGCTGCCTGCTAGGAAGGCAGCCAGGATGCAAGGTGGCTGGGGACAAAGAAAAAGCTGGAAGCACAAGTTTATTTACACAGGTGGTCCTCAATTTACAGTTCTTTTAATGACTGTTCAAAGTTACAACAGCATATTGACAGGCCTTAGACTTTAGTCTTGAAATGTGTGGCACTCCTGATGCAATGTATCTGCACCTAGAACTGCATATTTTCTCTAGACTCATATTTTGATGGCCAATAAGCACTGCAACGGCTGAAGTTATTATACAAAGCCAGCACATTTTGTGCAGATGTGAGTGAACTGGGATTTTCACCTATCTTTTTGATGGGCTTTATTTTTACTCCAGCTTTCTCATTTCCTGTTTTTCAAGGAAGGGAAAACACAGGTTTTTAATGAATGGGAGACTTGCAGTCTTAGCCCTTCAGTTTGACCACCTGAGATGTTTCAGACTTTTTTTATTCAGTTTAGCCAGAAAGCCAACACAATTTGTCACATGATACTGATAATTTTATTTTGTGTAGTCAATTGACTGATACACCATGTTACTTCAAATATTGGATGCTATCTTTAAATCTAGCAGTATGGTTGCATTCCCCTGCTGATCTTCTCATACAGGTTATTGTTACTATTGTTACTGTCTGAAATGTTGGATTTGACCAGGTAGGTCTCTCGTTTAAATTAATTCTCAGCATGGGCAAGAGCTGAAATGTTAGAAAAATCTTCTGGAGCCTAACTTCCATTGCACTTTTAGAATAGAAACTGGGATTAGAGCCTATTGAACTATTGGGAGCCATAACTCAATACAACCTTAGCCAAATCTTGCTACTAAAGAGCGAAAGATGAAAGGGAAAAAGTTTACTTCATATATTCAGTACAAATGTTTATTTTTGCAATGAGAACTGCACAAAAAACCTTTAGTATATAAGTGAAAACTCTATGAATTCCCTTCTACAAATGTCTAAAGTGTTTAATACAAGTTTCAAATTCACTGACATAATTATTTGCCAAGCGTTCCGTGCATTAAGTACAGTGGAATTGTACATTTCATTTATTTATTTGTACAGGACTGCAGGGAGAAAAAAAATAACCAAGGTTACATCATTTAGGCTACACCCTTACACTTAAAACTCTGTAGTTATTGAACTTATACATGGAGGAGGGGGAAGAAGGGGAAATTAAATAGGTCTCAGTCTGAATAGCCATATTATAAACTCAAACATTTTATAAAAACAAAAATAAATCACACATATAGCCCCTCCCTCCCAAAAAAAGAAAGAAAGAAGAAAAAGAATAGCAACCCTTTGGCAGAAAAAAAAAGTCTCCAATTTAATGATACCATCTATGTTCATCATATAGAAATGTATAAAAATCAAAGACCAAGTACAGGTTGTTTTTTTAAAAAAAAAATTAAAGTAAATAAGTAAAGGCCTGTAAACATTTCAAAAAGTTTGCAAAACACAGAAATGATCAAAGAGGAAAGTGAGGAAGAACAAGACAACGGAGAAAGCCACCAAGCTAAAAAAAACGGCTATCACGGTTTTGAAACTCTCAACTACAGACAAGAAAAAGTTTGGCAAATGTTCAATGCAAAAAGAGGGTTAAACATTAAAATAAAAAACAACTAATCTCGCTATTGACTAGATACGGGGAACGGGGTGTTGTTCATTGCATACATATAAATTATTTATTTAAAATTTTTTACAACAGAGGGTGCTCTCTTGATAGAAGTTCCAGCATCTCCACTTCGTTATGTTTTCAATTTCATCAGTGTGGTGCAGTTCTGTTATGTACAATTGCAGTGAGCTCATATGTGATCAACTTTCACAGCGGATGTGCACTTAAAGTACCCCAAAAACCCTGAGCATAAAATTAAAGGAGGGAGATGTTCATCCAAAGTGCTTTGTAAAAGAGGTGACTGGGGAGAGGAGATGGACAGATGGAAGGTCAAAGAATACTGTGAGAAATGACTGGCAATGAAAATGAAAGAATCAGAACATGTTCAGAGGAAAACCAACATTCCTACTTCCTCATCAAGGATCCAAACAAGAGCTAAGAGAAGATTAAGGCTAGTTAATTAGCTCATGGTAAAAAGACATGTGCAGTAACACAGGGACAAGAAGGGGATGCAAGGGACTTATTTTCATTCAAGTGTGAGCTGTTGCCAGAGATAGAAGCCCCCTTTCCTGACAATTCCTGGGATTAAGTAGAAGACTATAAGGGCTAACCCAACCAATAAGCCTTCATGAAGAAATTGTGTGAGCTGGTGAACTAACATTTCACCAATTCTGAAGTGTTAACACCCACACATAAGCAGATCAAGGGAGGAAACTAGTGTCATATACAATCCAGCATATGGTAACTACCTTTATGTTGGTCCAGAAACAGAACATTTAGGTGTTCTGTACGAGAGGTAATCTGAGGCCCAAGTCTGGTTCTCGGGAATCCAGATTTTCAGACCAGTCAACTGCATTTTAATGTTAGAGGTGGTTACTGGCTATGAGCCTAAGCCACTCCAGACAAAATTACTATGTTTGGAGACAAAGCACAACATTTCATGGCCTTCTCAAGACAGGCAACTCCCTGAAAGAAGGAAAGCAGAGTCAACGTCTTGTAACAGAAAGCCTGATCTATACCTAATTGCACATCCTTTTCAGCAAGAAGCCTTCAGAAAAAGAGGGGTAATATTGCCCCTTCTAAACTTTCCCATTTATCTTTCAACAATCTAATACTCAATGGAGAAAGGCAGAGATCTTCTAATGATGTAGAGTTAAAAGGCACCTTTAGGTAAAAATTCAGCGTGAGAACTGGCTGTTCACAAGACTGTCGAAGAAACAATTGCCTCTAGAGCCAGTCTCATTTCTTCTGTACATGGCTACTAACCTGAGTTACCTATATTAATATGTGCGACCGTGCACTTCCAACTGCTTAAAGGCATGGACATTTAACTGCGCATTGGAAAGCCAAGGCCAAGTTAGATTGAAAATAGGCAACAAATGACCTATCACTTGATCTTGGTGTTGTATAGCAGGTCCAGTTATTCAACTCCTACAAAAAGACCTGAGAATGATGTTGAAGCAAATTGCAAGTTTTAAGAGCAATACTTTTGGAGACAATAAATGCTTTCTTAGGTGCCCCATTTCTCTTGATACATAACTATGTTTCAGGAGGGACAATTCAGGTTTCCCCCCCCCCAGGTCTAGGGACCTGGAAGTCAATGAACAGAAATAGCTACCTTCTTTTACTCCATCTGGGATCTCTGCTCTCTTAACGTTTCTTTCCACATTAGTCATAATTAAATTGGGCAGATGGTGTAGCTGTTGAAATCAGTAGTCCAATATAATGAAAATGAAGAGTTGAGACATTGGCAGGACAAGAAATTCTGTCATCAGGAAAAACAGAGATGTCTTTGGCCGAGGGTGCAAGTATAAAGTTGGCGGAGCTGCCCAGAGAACAGTTGTCTTCTCTACAGCAGCTAGCCAGAGCATTCTTGACCAGAATAAGCACTCTGAATAACTTTAATTCACAGTCCAAACCCATTACTTGAAGTCCAATTGAAGTTTTGAAGCAAGCAGTCATGTTTTTTTCAAAAGAAGTAGCAACACAATGGCAATTTGCAAGCTCTGAATAGAAAATCCATGTCCAGCAATTCATATTGGAACACTAATTTTGACCAACAGTGCAGAAAAGTGAAATACTATATCTTTCTCTTGATCCTCACAGGGTCAACTACTATAGTTCAAGCGCTCCTAATTTAGCACAACAAAGGAAGCTGGGCTAAATTTTATTGCTGGAAATTAGGTTGCATGTTGAGATTTGCCCCAAACAGGAACAAGACTGGAAACAATCAGTGTGCTGTTCTCCTACTTTTGGCTTGATGCTACAATGTGAAACCAGCCATGCTGAGAAAACACTAACTGCTTGATATTTGGTGTTCATCTTCCTACCATTTCTACAGAATGCTGTTGCTCCACTACTACTGCTCCCAGGGTAAATATTAGCTAGCTTGGTGATAAGATGAAAATAATATGAATTGGCTGGAGATTTCCCTGCCTGCGAGAGCAAGACAGATGAATAGAACAAGTCTCCTTACAGCCTTTCTCACCTAAGCCATTTTACCATAAGCAAGATTTAAAAGAAATGTCAGTACGACACCAACTTTAAAAAAAAAGAGATGAGTTTATTCCATGATCAGTACAGACCAAATGCATATTCACCGTATTAAAGTAAAACCAATTAATTACTCCAGAGATTGGCCAATACTGACACACCAGTATTGTACTGTATAGTGGGTATTTATGGCACATAAACGTGGAACATTTGAAAGAGTAAAATGGAAACAATATGCTAAAAGTGCTGAGAAAATGATTACTGCTAAAATGTTAAAGGACTTAATGGAAGACAACAGGAACAGGTCTTCCTTCCTGCCAATCCAAATCCATTCCCACCTCCCTCCCCGGAGCTGCTCTGTTGTGTATAAAAACTAATTTGAACAGACTCCATGACATTTAAAACCCAAAATGTAATTTTCTGGTATTACAGTTAAAAATATAGACTAAAAGTCTGGAACTGAGCAAAATAGAAGCAGTGTCTTTACAGAGTATGGTGAGCTCACCATAAAACTCAAACAAATATATGCCAACTATATTCACTATACAATACAGCCACAGTCAAACACTATTGACAGGGTGGGAGTTTCCCCTGGTATTAAGTTTTCCCCACTCCACTCCACTCTGTAATGAAGAGACAAGAATACCTACTCAAAGAGTTGAGTAGTGCCAATGTATCTGGAGGAAAAGAAACAGATTGAAAGAAACTGACTTTGGTTGGTAGTCTAGCTCAGATTCCTGTCATCCACACAATGCTAAAACAAAAACCTCACTCAAATGGCCAGTTACACTTACTTGACACCTCCACTAAATTATTCCCTTTTTCACAAGCAAACACTTACAGAGAATGGCTCCCAGCTAAAGGCTTGTGGGAAGTTTAGTTAAAGGCAAAGCCAGTGATGAAAGGACCCAAAACAGCTTGTGTGTCTTCCCTGCTAAAGCCAAGGCAGGGTCTTTGTGTACACAGCCTCTCAATGCAGAGTGTCTGGTGCTGCCAGCATACAGCACGGTAGCGTCAAAGACATTCTGGAATTCAGAATGCTTTTGAATAGAAAAAGGGTAAACAGCATCAAGTTCTGGATATACTGCAAGTAGGTTTGGCATAGAGAATATCAAGTGATAAGGGGCACCCTTCCCAGCAACTGCATGTCCACTGATGCAAACCTAGTACAGAGTTGACTCATCTTGGTCTCGCTTTCTTCAGTGAGGTTGGGGGAATGGGGTGGGTGGGAATTAAGTCAAATCGTAAGGCAGACTCTGCTGATCCTTCTGAGGCCATAACCGTCACACATGCAGAAAGGCTGCAGGAATGCTCTCCTCCCAGCTGCCAACAACACTGTGGAGAGTCAAAAATTTGCTGGGAAATTAAGGAGTTCAGGCGAAGAAAACCAGGTGCTATTAGAAAAGATTCTCTTCAAATATTGCCAACAAATCACTCTGGAAATTCATGTCAATAGTAGATGCCATCTAAAAGGAAAGAGAAAAAGAATGTAGCAGTCATCCAGGTTCACATAAAAAAAAAATATCCCAATAAATTGGAGCAGTAATAGCAACTACCTGATCCAGAACTTTCATCTATAAAAGCTGATCATGCAGATTAAAATTAGCAGAAGCCAAGAGGAAGCCATATTCACTTATCAGAAATCATATACAAGATCATAATACAAAAACATGATACGCTGAGGAATATTCATGAAGGAGTGAAAAAAGAAAAAAAGGTTTACATTACATAGTGACAACAGGAAGGGATTTAGCTTGCGAGAACTGATGGTCCAGATGTGTGGGACTGAGTTAAAAGGGGAGGGGAGGAAGGTCAATATTTTGGGAGAAAGAACTGATAAACTTCAAAGTATATATGTGAAAGGTATATATGTATTTGTAGCATGAACAGGATGAGTTTTTCACAGAAAGCAAATAGTTGAAATAAAAGAAATAAGAAACAAGGAAAGGAAAGAAAAGGTAAATGTCTGGAGAGGAAAAACCAGAAAGTTAAAAAAGGTAGCAATCTTTCAAATAAACAGTACCAATTTACAAGTAATTTTCTAATTCCCTCAGTATTATTAGTCCTGCTTCACAAATGATAATACAGTATTTTTCCTAAACTCAATAAAATCCAATACTGTTCTAATCTCCAAATAAACACTGAAATCTTTCTTCAAAAGGATCAAGGTATTCATTTTACTTTGCCTTATATATATTTGGGGTGACACATGTATTTTGTTTTCCTACACAATTCTAATAATGTTTCTTTTACTGAAATGTTAAGTGCCATTAGGTCTGTAAGATTGAGGTATATTTACTGGACACTAGTGTCACACTTGGACAAAAGCTGCCATTTCTGGCACTTTGAAAACTACTTCAAAACTAAATTGCCAAGCACAGCCTCTCTCGCTAAGGGAACTGTGAACCTTTTCAAAGCCCAGAGGGTGCCATTCTCCTTTTACTTACTGCCTCTCTGCGCCTTCGTTCCTGTTCTTGTTTCCGGAGTTCCTCTCTCTGTTGGTCCAGCATGGACTGCGAAGCCTGCGGCTGAGAGCTCTGTGACGGGGGAGCAGAGGCTGCCGCTGACACCTGCTGCTGAGCCTGGGGATGATGCTGGGGTTGCTGTTCTTGACGCCGCCGGGCTTCCTCGTGAACTCGACGTGCCTGCTCCAGAGCCTCTTCTTCTTCACGACTCCTGTTCATGGATCAGGAATAACAGCAGAAATGATGATCTGGCCTCCGCTTCATAGCATTAGGGAAACTAGAAATCCCACCTAGCCTTGGGACATTGATTGGAAGGTACTGGAAGACCCGACATCCCAGAGAAACATTGGCAGGAACTGTAGCCTGCAATACAGGTAGTCTTCATTTAGTTTTCACAATTGAGATTGAAAACATGGTTGCTAAGTGGAGTGTTTGTGTCCACAACTGTGCTTAGGATCTTAATTAGCTTTCCTTTGCCTTATAGTGACAGGGTATGGCCCCAAATGGCTGGGTCAGCCCAAACAGTTGGGAACATTTCCAGAACTTGAGTCATGATGAAGACGTGTAAAAGGCCAAATCTTATAACACCTTTCCCCCACTCCTCTAATCTTTGAAAGGTTTACCCTGGCACTGAGATAATTCACAAGAAGAGAATTAATGGATTACAAGAAAGGAAGCAGGCATACCATGGGGCATATACATACAAAGGAATGAACTGGCATTAATTGTATGCCTAGCTGCCCATTGAACAGTGTAGGAGATAAACAAAAGCTGAAGATGTGGACCTAATTAAAGTCTTGTCTGTTACAGGCAGCAGCTGGGAGCCAACTAATTAAGATGAGAGCTGAGCTTGTTAACTTGCAATTAGCATTTTGGGGGGAAGTTGTGGCAGCTCAGGAAGAGATTGGTTGTTTAGGCAATCTCTTCATTAGCAGTGCAATGTGTACTGACTGACTGTAATGGTGAACAATATGACTGAAACCGATGTCATGAAGGCCATAAATGCTGATATTTAGGTTGCAGAGTTACTTTTTTATCATCACTGTAACTGCTGAGGCAGTCATTAAACGCGGTCTACTTGTATGAAATCTCCCATATGGCACTGAAAAGAAATAAGGCATGGAGGGCCAGCAGAAAAGTGAAATGAAGGGGAAAAAAAGAGGAAAATACCAGTTGCCAGTGATTTAACCAGTAGTAAATACAAGTGCTTATGTTATCTGACTGCCCTGTCTTTGAGTAACATACTGTTTTCAAAAAGGATGAGTCATGGCCAGAATGTTTTGAGATTATTTTTTAAAATTAAATTCATATGCAACCTGACTCCCAGAGATTCTGGTATTTTACAAATAATTTAAAACATAAAAAACAAGACAAGAAAACAACAAGCAACAAAAGAAGGGTAAAGATGCCAGGGAAAAAAAATGGGTGGGGAAAAAAATAAAGCAAAGCAACCAAAATAAAAATAATCTAGGTTAAAAGGAGGCCTAGAATCATCCTCATCAAAGCCCTAATGAGTAGCCAGGTCTTCAGGCTCCTTTAAAACTCCAGCAGAGAGATGCTTACATTAAAGTACTGTTTTAGTTTTTAATGTAAATGGCAATGTTTTTAGAATTAAATTAGTAAGAAAAAAAGGATTGTAGTCCTTGAGATCAATAGTTTCCTTTGATTCCTCCTTCCTGCATTGTCTTCTGCCAGGTATGCCTTTAATTTTGATCACCAAACTTCAAAAGCTATTAGCTATTGTTCCTATCGAATGACAAGAACGAATTCTGTTCCAAACAGTGGTGGGGTTCAAACTTTTTTTACTACTGGTTCTGTGGGCGTGGCTTGGTGGGCGTGGCAAGGGAAGGATACTGTAAAATCTCCCATTCCCTCCCCACTCCAGGGGAAGGTTACTGCAAAATCCCATTCCCTTCCCACCCCCAGTAACCTGCTTTCCAGCTCCGTTCTCCTGTGCAAGGCAACAAAAGAAGACCCAGCTGATCAGCTGGGACTTGGGAGGCAGAGAATAGATGGGGCGGGGCCAGTCAGAAGTGGTATTTGCCAGTTCTCCGAACTACTCAAAATTTCCGCTACCGGTTCTCCAGAACTGGTCAGAACCTGCTGAATATCACTTCTGGTTCCAAACCTTCACATGTGTTAAATTAAATTTATATGCTGCCTGACTCCCAGAAACTCTGGGTAAAAACATTTTTTAAAAAAAAAACAGCACAAAAGTTTCAATGACAACATAAAGCAAAAGGAACAAAGATGGCAGTGGAAGCAAACCCCATTTGGAACAAAGAAAAAAGAAGAAAAGAGCTTCAGTCAACTGCACCAAACACCTGGCCTTCATCTTCATAGCCCTTCAAAATACCCTGGGGGGAAGGAGAAGCAGGGGGGCACTGTTTGAATCTCAGAGGGAATTCCCATTCCAGAGGACAGGTACTGCTACTAACAAGGTGTTTTTCCAGAATTCAGCCAACCAGATAATATTATTCAATCAAATGAATTCTGCCACATCTGACCAGCTGGGCAAGATGCTATGACAAGTAACCAGGCCTGATTTATAGATAGTAACCAGCATTTTGAATCACAAACAAACTGGCACCCAGAACTGCTAACAAAGCAGAGGTGTTACATGGGCATACCAAGGTATGCTCATCACTGCCTGCACTGCTGTTCTGGACCAGCTGAAGCTTTTGGGTGGTTTTCAAGGGCAGCTCTATTTATAGTGCATTAAGCTGTTAAAATGTGAGTTGACCATGGCACGAGCTGCGCAGCCTTCATGCACTGGGACAGAACCTCAATAGCCTCACTTGGTTAGCCTGGTATCAAAAGATATAATTTTAAAGATATGATGATCATATACCTCAAACTGGCAGATGTCCTCACCCGGCGGTTTCATGTAGATGTTAAAAAGGGAGATAAATTAGCCTGCAACACCCCATAAATGAGGGTCTAGGGAATGATCTCTCCCCCTCATCCAACACTGACAGGAACCAGGCTGAGAAAGAAGAGAACCCAATCCCCAACCCACAAAACCAACTCAGAAGACACCATGGTTGACAGCATCAAGAGCCGCCAAAGCATCAAGGAGCACAAGAATGGATGCACCACTGCCATCCCTGCTCCATCACAAGTCATCTATAAGCATGATCAAAGCAGTGTCATTACTAAATTGCAGCCTGAAACCTGACTGAAACAGGTGTGTATCCAGAGTTCTCATCATCTATGGAACAGCCACCTTCTCAACAACCTTCCCCAGAAAGAGAAAGATGGAGGTTGGTCAATAGATATTAGAGACCACTGGGTCCAAGGAGAGCCTGTTGAAGAGGGAGCACAGCAATAGCTTTTTCAAGGCTGGGAGCACCACAGCCTCTGTCAAAGAGGCTGACTCTATACCAACGGACCCAATCACAGGTCACTATTTGCTGTTGTCATGACAAGGTTTGTTTTGGTTATTAAGATTTTTCTAGAGGGAAGGCTCAGAATTAATCTTGAAATTTTCCCAAATGTTTCCCCCCACAAAATGTACTTTAAGGATAACATAAAGTACTTTCTCTCTCACACACAATGGAAGAAAATAAGCACACACACACACACACACCTATCTCAACTAATTATGTTTCTCACCTCATTCTTTCCTGTTCCCGCCTTTGCCTCTCCTTTTCCTTCTCTGCTTGTTCAGCTTGAGCTTTCAAGGCTTTCTCACGCTCCTCCTTTTCCCGGGCGGCCCTCTTGAAGTGCTCAAAGCTGTCACTGCTGGATTTTACTGTTGAAGATGGTGCGGTGGGATGTTTCTGCACTAAGCTTGCCCAAGATCCCATATTTTTTATTTTCAAATCCTGTGGAGAAAAGAAGTGCGGGATCAGTAATTAACTTGTAACATGGTGTAATTGGTGCACATGAAAAACCAGAATCTTCCCTTGCCTTCAAGAAAGGGATAAAAATAATTTAGCTGGAAATCCCAAAAGTGCTTTTTCAATGACTGAGAATCTCCATAGAAATGTAGCTGGTAACTTACAGACAAAACCCCTCTAACCTAACCTAGGCTGGAACCAACTGGTTACAAATACCCATTTCTAAGGCCCACAACAAAGGAGCTTGAATGCCAGTGGATTGTTCTGCGTGTCTTTTGCATAAAAAATTAAATTGGTTAAAAAGTTAAATTAATTATTTCTTATGGGTGGTGAGGGTGGGAGTATATTCAGTACAGACAATCCTAGCCTTTTTTGTACATCAAAGTCTAAACTAAAATTGTAAATGAATATAAGCAAGGAAAACAATATTCCCTGATTTCCCAACTATTAAAATCAAGCTTGATGATTCTTGAGACAGTATTTAGAAAACAAAAGATAAAGGTAAAATTGAAGCAAATATTTTCTTAGCTGAGCCTCGAATATATCTTGGAATAAATATTATAAAATTGTATTTTAAGCAATGCATAATGAATGAAAGGTCAGTGAAAAGAAAACCAACTGCTACTATTGTGTACTGTTCTACACCCAACTGATTGAGTTCATCAATAATAGGTAGATAAATAGTAAGTTTAATTTATAATTCAGGGAAATTAAAAATGACATGAGTTGGTCAAATGAGGACTCAAGATTTGTTGGGGGTAATATACTGACTGCGTAAATTGCTTAAGAGAGGGTTGTAAAGCCCTGAATGATGCGCTATATAACTCTAAGAGCTATGACTGTTGCTAATATTTCTGTATAAACACTTCAGACAATAACACCCTTCTTGTTAGGAAATGGATTATCATAGTTCTGTTAAAAATTGATATTGATCACTAGAGTTGTAAAGCCACACTTGAAATTTAGCAATATTAAAGCTGCTATGGGGGTTCATTATCAACTTTTTTTCCTACTGAGAAAACAATATATAATTCAATTACCTTTTTAGGTGCTACTGGTGTTTTTGGTTCTTGCTTCTGTCTCTCTTTGTCCTGGACTCCTGGTGGCGCATTTTGTTCTGAAGGTCTTATAACAGGCCGTCCACTGTCCACTGTTTTCATCTCTGTTCCTGAAATAAAAATTACAACTTAATAGTCTTTCTGTCTAGTTAGAATTATTTAAAAAAATCATGAAAACAAACTGAAGTGAAGAATTGGGCTGTCCCCCTTAATGTAAACTAGATCACAACAAAACACATGGAGTTTCTAGACAAAGTGACAAATCACTCACGTTGTTGGATATGTACAGGTGGCTTGATGCTCTCTGGGTGTTTGGTAGGATCTTGCCGCAAGGCAGGGCTAAAGGTCTCATTTCGAATGACTGGGGATTGCATCTTCTCCTCTTTGCCCAAAGGCTGCGACTGAACTACCGATGCTGCTCTTAGTTCCTGGCAAAGAAAGACAAACAAACAAAAGCCATAGTAATAATCATGGCTTTTCGTGGCTTTCCCTGTATTGTCTGAGCCTCCCCACCAATAAAAGTTCTTGAAGGAATCTGCTTTCTAATGGATGCTGGAAAAATGTTTATGGAAACAAACATCTGAATAAACTTTTGTTTATAAGATGCCTTTACCTGCTTTTTTGGCTGAACATTTGATTGTGGTGGAGACTGGTGCGGCAACCCCTGGAACGGTGGCATCTGAGGGGAATGCATCATGAGAGGGGAAGGTGCTTCTCTCAAGTGGCCTGGAATAAGTCAGCACCAATGTTTTCAGAAAAATAATAAAAAAAAACTTTGGAAAATGCACTTATGATATTCAGCTGACAACTTGGAGAAAAAAAGCTTTTGAGTTATCTGAGATTTGCTCATTTAAACACCTATTTACACTCAGTAAATTTTCACTTGCAGAACTGTAAATGAGGAAATGTCAGTTTTATAGTTATTTGAAGAAGAGTGGTATAGAAGTGACTATAATAGAATGCAAGGTCAAAAATGTAGTCACTTTTGAATAGTATAAATTCCATCAAAAACATTCATGCATGGAATAAAAACAAGGCTATTTTGCGGCAGGCCTGGACTAAAATTCCAGTGTTCCAGTCAGCTGACTGGTCAGGAGTCGGGGAGAGTGAGAGCAAGCTGACAATACAGACAGTAGAGGCTGGGGGTTCAGCAAAAGAAATTGGGAAAATCAAATTGGGTTGGCTAAACTGGTGGATATGCCATTCTGGGAATCACAATTTATTATGAAGATTACTGCAGTCAGGAACAAAGGCACAGGACAGTACATCAACAGTGGGAGGTAGGGAAGATCCTGGAAAGGTCAGGGTGGGGAGAATACATTGCATTGCAACATCAGCAATGGGTCAGAAGTGAAGGAAAGGGAAGGTGTTAGGACAGTGGAGATAGCAGGGGCTGAAGACAAGCAAGGGAAGGAAAGTAATTTGAAATACCACATGTGGATCAGAGAAGTGGAACGTATCCACACTAGGGAGCTCCTAAGAGGAGGAAGAATGCACACCAGAATTTTCTATTTGTCAAATAAAATCATTCTAAGATTCCTCTAGATCAGGGGTGTCAAACTCACATCGTCACAGCGGTGTCACGTAATGATTTGGGACTTTCCCCCCCCTTCGCTAAATGGGGTGTGGGCGTGGCCAGCACATGATGCATCTGGCTCATGAGCCAGGAGTTTGACAGTCTTGCTCTAGATTCAGCTTCATTTGAAACTTAGAAGAATTTAAAAGTTCTGGGGCTTATCGGTGCCAAAATGTGCCTGACTCCAAAAAAATTTAGCAGAAATTTCATACACCAAAGGCCTCAGAACAGAAATAAAACATGTTACATGAATATCCCTATTCCACTTGAATATTAAAAACAAACAAACACTAAGAGTTGTTTGATAGTGGAACCAATTACTCGAAGATGTGGTAAAATCTCTTTTATCAGAGATGCTTATCAAATGCTGGATCACTTTGAATTGGACCATAGGATGAGGGATAGATTTCTTAGAAGCCTAATGATCCCTTCCAGCAATTTAATTCTGTAATACCACAGAACAGGCAATTGAAGAGGCAAAAATAACACTTGCTTTTATCTTTTACAGGTAACTTTTCCAAATAAAGCGAGTCCACAAAAAAGGGACAAGAAACTGAAATGAAATCTAAAAATCTAAGTCACTAAAGAGTATGCTATTGCTCTACAAACATAACTGGATGTAGACCTGCCATTTTTGGAATTTGTAAAGCAAGACCAAGTGAAGGATAGGGGAGAAACAAATGAAGGATGTTTCACTGGACAATGAACAGCAAGCGCATTATTCCTCTTCAGGGATTTAGCTGAATGCATGGAAAACTAGAATAGAGAAGAGAATGGGGAGGAAAAGCTGCCCTGTCTTTTTCTGTCTCCAACTTCCACCTCCAACTGAAGGTCTGAAATAAAAATAATGTTGCACTGGCTTGAATGCAAATGCAACTTTGTGAGCACTGGACATCTCTTATTTTGGATTCTGGATTGCTTGTTGAACTCTACTTCTATGAGCTTTTGGAGAGGTAGAAAATAAAATGTACGTTAGCAAAATTTCAAGTTTTTGGTTAAAATGAAATCATCACAGAAAAATATATATTGAAAGCCATGCCTTCAGCAAGTTTTTAGGTTTCGTATTTTATGCAGTCAGCCATCTTGAGTGTTCCCTCTGAATATAGAAGTGGGATATAAACTGAATAAGCAAACAAACAGATGATCTTAAGAGAAAAGGGAGTAACTTTCATCAGAAAAACCCAGCTTCTTTTAACTTGCTTTACTACATTTCCTCTTTACAGAACTCTTTTAAAGGCAACAAGCAATTTTTCACAAGTGTTAAATCACTATTATGACTTTCATGCACCTGTCCGGATGGCAAGCATCTAAAGACCCATCCATCCAGCTGCCATGTTTCAGGCTCAAACAACTCACCTGTTGCGTAGGGGTCTGGCTTGTGATGTCTTGGTGAAGAGTGGTGCTGGATGACTTGCTGGGGTTTTGACGACTGCGGTGGGGCTTGAGGCTGTTGAGGGGGCAGATGCGGCTGGGGTGGTGGTGGAGGCTGTGGGATATGGGGTGGAAATTGCATGGACTGCATATGGACTGGTCTCTGCTGTGACTGATGTGGTAATTGTTGCCCGGGAGGGTGAGGAGGAGGTTGTAGGGAGGGCTGAGGCTGCGACTGCACTTTCACTGAAGGGAGGAGAGAAGTCTGTGGCTGCACCTTCTGCAACTGCTGCAAGTACATCTGCATCTGACTATTACTCAGTGGCAGGTTGTGGTGAGGAGCAGGAGGCTCTTCCTCCTCCAAAAGCAGCTGGGGAGGCTGGGAGAGTGGGGGCTGGGGAAGCAGAGGCTGCTGGTTAAGAGCCGGTGACACAGCTGGAGGCCGAGAAGGTTTAGGGGGGAGTGCTGCGGCTCGATTACTGGGTCTTGACGGTTGCTGAGGCAGGGCATTGTGCAAAGCTGAAGAGAAAAGAGTAATGTTACATTAAATACTGTGCAACAGGACCCATGATATTATTACTACAACTACTATTAATTTATTTTTAATTGCTTAATTAATCACTTAAAATTATGGTTGCCTATTTCAAAAGAGCCAAGGCAAAATCTGTACAAGCAGCTGAGAACTAGATAACTCATTTTGGAGTAAAACTGTAGGAAATATTATAAACCATTTCAAAGAAGGAAAGAAGTAACCCCCTGCCCCACAATTCCCAACTATTCCCTTCATAGTACTTTTCTACTTGAGTACATTTAACTTTATGTTAACTGACATTAAACAGATGTTATTTTCCATTTGCAGCCCATTCTATCATCTCAAAATTTTGTCTTTGCTCCACTGATAGAATTACAAACAGAGAAACATTAGTTATGATTGTAAAACATACAATCCTGGCTGCAGTGGTGGGTTGGAATAACTTAACAAGTAGTTCTTTGGTTGGGTAGGCGTGACTTGTTGGTCATGTGACTGGGTGGGTGACGTCACTCATCACACCCAGCCCAGCCTCCTGGCCACTTACCTCAAAGGCAGAGGTAGCATTCAGCTGGTTGGGGTTAATCCCACCACTGGTTGGCCCTGCCCCCACCTGTTTTTCAGTCGTTTTTGGCCCGAAAAATGACCTGAAAAAAGCCCCCCAAAACAGGCTGAAAAACAAGCCAGGGCAGGGCCAGCCAGCGGTGGGATTTGCTGGTTTGCTGAACTGTGCAGAATCTTAACTACCGGTTCGAACTGCCACTTCATTTACAGTATCCTGGATTGATCTGGTGCTCATTTACTGCAAAGCTCCACTGGGAAAGAATGATGTAAGAGTAAGGTGGATTGCTAGTTCTCACAAACTCAACATACAGGTTCTAATGCACCTGAAAATAGTTTACCTGGAGGGGACACTACTGCATGTTGATTTAAGTGAGGAGGAGTGCTGTGCTCAGGCTGCTGGGGGAGATGAGGTGGCATCTCAGGTGGGGGAAGGTGCAGAATAGGCTGAGTGAAATGTGAAATAGTGTCAAACATGTTCCCTGGAAGTGGATGCTCCATAACTGGGATCTGCGTTGGAACAAAAGCTGGAGGAGAAGACTTGACTGCGGGGGCTGCTTGCTGAGGGGCAGATGGAGGTGGTGGTGGTGGTAGCTGTGGTGGTTGCACCTGCTGCTGCTGTTGCTGCTGCACCTGTAGATGGTGATGATGGTGATGCTGCAAGGAAAAAAAAAGCCAGTCCTACAATCAATGCAAAGCACTTTTGGAATGAGCCATTTTTGCACAGGAAATTAATAGTGGAGAAAGGTTTTTTTCTTCCCTGAAACTTTTGCCAATGGCTTTTTTCTATATGTTTCCTCAACCTCTGATGTTTTTGTAAATATGAATACTTAGCCAATTCTTTGCAATCAGAGATTGACTCAATAGATGGGCAAAAATAGCAAATGCAATTTAAACATTTGACTGACTGTGCAACCAGCCTTAATAATAATATATGGACTCTCAACTCTAGACTGCTTAGAACAAGCAAAAGAAATTACAGCAAAATCAATAAAAATGAAAGATGGGAAGAGTGATGAAGTAAGGCAACTCAATCTCATTTTCCACAAAGGTGAAGATCCAGGAATTTGCAGGTCTTCTAAATGGCAGATGTAACAACTTAAAAAAAAAGTTAGTCCCTTTATCTATTTTTCTGTCAACTTAGGACTGGTTAGTTAGTTCCAACAGTAAGCAAATTCTTGCCTGTGACCATGGCTAAGAGCTGAAATAATTCAGATATAATGGAGGTACAAACTATTCCTAATGCAAGGAAGCCTAAATATCATAATTAAAGCTCTTCTTTTTCCTTTCAGTAGGGTCTAAAAATAAATTGTTTATTAATCAACATGTTAATTTATCCCCTCAAAAATCTGAATTATAACATACCTTCTTTTGTTCTCGACCAGGATGTCCTTTTTTCTTAATTTTGGGAGGCATTTCTGTGGGAAAAGAAAATAGAAGATTACTGCATGGCAATGCTTTTGAACATGAATCCTTTTATGATTAAAACGCTGAAATCCAAAAGCACAGCACTGATACTTGTAACATATACTGAACATTTGAACCTATTTGCTTACTTATTTTACAAAATAAAATACTTTTTTTTTTTACAATGAACTATTAATTAGTGTAAGTTGTTGAGGCAAAGCCTCAATAATTTATTTCCCAGCATATCTTTCATTGTGTCTATCTTCCATATAATTTTAAAGGCAGTAAAAAAGAACAACAATTTTTTTTGCATTTAATGGGTAACACCTGAATTGCCTATAGGAATTTATTACATTATTTGCTCAAGTTTGTGCTGCACATAAATCATCCAATATATTTTCACTCACACAAAAATTAAATTTTGCTTTCATGACGTTGGCTGCTTTTTGGTACTTAAGTTTATATCGAAAAGATATTTTTCCCTTTGGGGGAAAATTAGAAAGCTGAGGTAACTCAACTGTTACCTATTTCTGGAAGGATAGTTAGGCTATTCTGCTTAAATTCTTAAGTAGATATGAATGTGTCATATTAAAATAACCTGAAAATGCTATACTGTATATATGCCTCTTCTTCACCAGAAAATTTTACACAATCCTATTATAAAATGATAAGAAAAATGTGGTCTAATAACAGATAGCAGTAATACTTGAAATTCATTTTGAAGACAAATTTCTTGTCAGAGAAGAAAAGTTAAATTTATATCTGGTTCGTTGAACCGACTGGCTGCCCATGCCCACCCCCTTATGTTACACATTTTATTGGAACAGAGAATATATGTTAAAAACACATTAGCAGCTCCAAAATACATGCTTTGCTGGCATTATACTATTCACCCAAACATAATAGCTATACTGAAGAGATATACTGCAATCCCATTTTATGTAAGAGAACGAAGAGGAATAAAAATATAAAATGATTAAGGCTATGATACCAAAATATTGAATCTGTATTTGCATGGATGAGTAACTTTATTTTTGTGTTTGTCAAGATAAGCTCCCCAATTAGTTCATATAAATAAATAAACTTTAAACTCACAAGACTCTGACATATAATTTGAAGATCACGATTTTCAGAATCTAGTTCATGACATATTATTCTTACAGGACTTTACTCCTATAACAATCATACAGACTGCTTCTAGCATTTTAATTATGAGATGATTTCTAAATTAAGAATTACTGTGTTTAAAAAAGGAAACCTAACTTAAAAATAATTAATGCTACTGTTCTATTGTATTGGGCAGACAAAATTAGGAAAAGCCTGGTGATGTGTTTAGCTTTTAAAAATCAAAAAGGTGGACTTCCTGATTTCTTCACAGAAATATCCAACGAGTTTTCTTGGCAGCAAACATGGAGATGGGTTTGCTGCTTTCTTCAAGTATTTTATCCCCTCACCCACCCCAAATCCTGATCTAATTTATAACCTTGTAATTTCTCAGAAGTTTCCTATTCAAATACTTATTTTGAATGGAAGTAGCTTTATGGGATAAACAAGATTGGACATGTGCTGCCATCTCCTGAGACATTAGGCATAGATGTAAATATTTAGCTTAAAATAAGAAAACATTATTGTAATGTAAGGCATTTTCAAGGTCAGTTTGGCAGTATGCCTTCCCTTGAAAAATCACTCTGCTGTGATTAAATCATCAGACTATTCCAATGTCTTCATAAATGGGAAGCTTTTAGTAGTATATACTTGTATTAATTTCAGTAATACACTTTACTGTTTTTTCTTTAGAAGATTCAAGGGGATAGTAACTGGTCAGTTACCCAGTAATCTCTCGCCAATGAAGTAAGAATTTGAACCTAGATCTCTTGGGTCCCCAGTCCCATATCTTAACCTCAACAATGGCTTTCACTGCATTTTATGTTCTCTAGTGGTGTATTTTACAATTGGGCACTATATTACTTTATATTATTTTATGTATTACTTGTTAGCATTTCAGGTTTACTGGGCATTCTCAATTGGCTGACAAAAAATACAAAATAAAAGTTAAACATTAGTAAAAATACGTAATAATGTAGACTAGATACATTAGTGCTGCATAAAACCTCTAGATGATAATAAATTTGGAATCATATACAGTAGTACCTTAGTACTCAACTGCTTTGAAACTCATCAAATTTAGTACCTAAGGCATTTTGACATGAACATTTTGTCTCAGTACTCATTGTTTGTTTGGCACTCAATGCATGAGCTAGAACTTGACAGTCTCAGCTGCCTTGTGACTTACTACATGATTCCTCATGGGAAAAAATTGTTTCATACTTTTTTTTTGTGCTTATCGCAACTCCTGGAACCAATTAAGGATGAGTACTGAGGTACCACTGTATATTGGTTGAACAAAAATGTAGTTCAGGGTGGAGACAGTTGTTTGGTTTACAAGAATTGCATTAAAACATAAACCAAAGTAATTTATTTTAAAGCTAGATATAGCTGTTCTATAGGAAATACATTCTAATCGGACAACTATATTATTTTTGTGATTGACTCTGAAAAATTACAAAAGAACTTTTGTACAAAAGTGTACAAAACAAAATATTTTATATAAGTTAACTTTGATAGGGGCAAATCAAATGAATAGTTTTCTGTTCAAAAAAGCATTTTGTTTCTTCTCCTTCCCTTCCTCTAGTTGCGCTCAATGTGCATGTCCATATTTGCTTTGGGTGATCCATCCAGTTATCTTCCACAGAAGATTTGGAGAGAGGATTAATTTCCCCAGCAAACACCACTGGATTTAATTCTTAAAATATTTCTGGCATCATTTGACTGTAGTTCATTTCTTGTAATGTGTGGCCATGCATTGCCTGAACTATTTCTCTTATATCCAAAGCATATTCCACCAAAGAATGCAACGTAAGCCAGAATTTCACATTTTTAGTGCAATCTAAATTACACTATATTTATTTGTATCAACTTAATAAAACTATCGATAACATCCTAAGTTGTTCTTCATTATAGGATCATGTAGCAACACTACCTAACATAACTTTTGAAATTAAGAAAGTAGGCCAAAACTGAAGTGTGTATTTTGTTTTAATTGTCTCTGTAGAAATCTTACGAAAATACATGTAGTTCTCAACTTATAATCAAAACTGAACTCAAAATTTCCACTGATAAGCAACATGGCTGTTAAGTGAGTGAGTTTTATGACTTTTCGTGCCACAATTGTTAAAAGAATCACTGCAGTTGTTAAGTTAGCAACATGGTTGTTAGTGGATCTGGCTTCCCCACCATTGACTTTGCTTGTCAGAAGGAACACTGCAAGTGTCATCGATACATGCCGGTTGCCAAGTGCTCAAATTTTGATCACGTGACTATGGGGATGCTACAATGGTAGTTAAGTGTGATGGGGGGGGGGTGTCTTAATCACTTTTTTCAATGCCATTGTAACTTCAAATAGTTACTAAAGGTAGTAACAAATATTTCAGAAATCTTGAAACCTGCTTAATCTCAGCTTTAGGTAACTTTTAATTAACATAGCATTATTGAACACCTGTCATTAAATGATTCAAAAATTCCATTTATCACATGTTTGCCATACCTTAAGAATCCATTCTTAAGTGGGTTGGCTTGAAAGTAGTATATAGCTGCTCCTGTTTATATAAGTGAATTCTTCTATCAGCCACCTAACTATTACTCATAAGGTACCTACAAAGACTGAAGATCTCTGTGAAATGCCTTTCCAGGGGGCATAAAAATAGTCTTCCCTCAACTGTCTGTACATAAACACATAAAGAGGGAGGATGTTCCAAGCCTTATTTTTCCTGCACACTTCAAATAAGGAAAATAAAATGTTGAATTCCTATTTGATAATCAACAATAGAATATTTATGATGTGATGTTTAAAGACTTGTTTATTTCCCTATTGAACTTCTAGAGATAGAGACTATTGTCTTATTTTAAAAGGGGGACATGAATATTCATTTTCAAATGTCAAAACTAAGTGTTATTACAATGTTAGTTATTGTAGAAAAAGTAGGTACATTTTTTCCAGCAAAAATAAATTCTTTATTTTTATTATTCAAACAAAAATATAGTAACTGTACAATGACAGCAGATACGCAATTCATGATTAATGCATTTTGAACAGTCAAGGGAAAGAGGAATTACAGCTTTACTTAAACATGCAATTTATACATTCCAATCAAAAAAGGTCAATTTTCCCCATCCCTTAATAAAAATTAAAAACAAATGGTAGGAACAAATGCAAACGGAGAAAAAATTAACAATATTAATAAAGACATTTATTTTAAATCCCCAAATACATATTTTTGTTTATAAATAACCTTCCAAAGTAAACTATTTTTTATGATGGAGTTAGAGTATCAATATCTGGGTTTTTGTGTGACTAATTTGGAAGTTCTATATTTTCTTGAAACTGGAAGAATATAGCTACTGCTCTCGCCAATATCAAAATTTATTATTACTAGATATGTAACCCACTAAAACCCCGAAAATTTGGATAATATCAATTCATATATTATTCCTTGTCACTGACTATCAAGCTTACTGAATGATTCTGCTCTGAGTGATAATTAAATATGGAACTTAATATTCAGATTTTTCTTACACATGTTTATTTGGGTTTATAAAAAAAGGACAGCCACATACTTCCATAAGTACTGATGTATACCACAGATTAATTTTTAAGGAACAGTTATAAAGTTGTATTGTAGCATGAAAACTCATTGGATTTTAAAAAAAATCTATTTAGAAATACATTTAATGCTATATCGAAATTTTGTAAATAGTTAACTAAGTGCTTCAAACCATAGCTATCTTTATATGATTTCCCACAAACTGACACATCCTGTTAGCATTGTTATTTTCTAGTGTAACCTTTCTGTATCTTTCATGCCTGATTACTGAGCTGCTTTTAATGGAAGATGTTTTTTGAAAAGTTTCCCCATATAACAATAAAAGAAGCTTTTGTATGTAACAATAAAGT